GGACGAGGGACGAAGGACACAGAACCCCAGAGTTGACATGTAGAATTCCTTCGGGAACGGATTAAGAGCGGATGAAGCATCCAGTGACAGACACAAGTGAAGACGTAGGTGGACGGCAAGTAGACTGACGGCAAGCAAAGGTAAGTTTGTTATCTTTTTTCGATCGAATTCTTTAAACACTGATTGAGACTCTTCTACTCCCTAAACATCGCGTGTTCAAGAACCTAGGCAAGTGCAAACTGGACACGATCTTTTTCAACACTCCAACTTGTGAGCTTCACTGCTGGAATACTTTGGCCAAGCATTGACTACACCCGAACACTTTACTCCCAAATCTTTTCGTAAACTCTTCGACTCAAAAGAGCGAAAGTAAAGCATGAAAGGTGAGTAGTGTCCTCTGAAGACGTAGACTGACGGAAAGCATGAAAGGTGAGTTTGACCATGTTTGACCCAAAACGTGTTCAAGTTCTTTTTTCGGCATTCATGAAACACTCTTTGAGATACTTTTTTCGCCTCGAGCAACTCGAGCTTCGAGGACACCACGATGAATGTGATCCCCTCGAGCACCGGGAATTTGTTGACCATGCTTTCGGACGATGGCCTCCAGTGCCCGGATTGGAAGACGCGTTCCGACGGCGTTCCGACGTTTTCAAAAAGGTGTTTTTTGCCTTTTCCTCGTTTCGCTTCGTTTCAGGTATCTCATGGCTGGAGCCAGGTCAAACATTGGTTTGAAATCTGGACGCTATGTGTTCGAGGCTCGTTCCCAAACCCCAGAGAACCGGAAGAAAACGAAGAACTCGATCGGTGTGAACTCGAAATCACCTGACTGACAGTCTCAGGATCCAAATTCGGATCTCGTTTGACAACATCTCGTTTGATAACACTTTCTGAGTCCGGTGGACCGGCGTGGCTGAAACTCCGTCTCGGCTGTGTGGTGTGGACAGCGACACAGTTGGGCGCTGAACACTGGTTGAACATATGGAAACATATGAAAACGTGTCCAAACAGTTTACTGTTAGGGGTTCTCAATTCATTCTGAAGATGTGTCCGCCATTTCTGTCACTGCTGGTGTCCGCCCTTTTGTGCTGGCCATGCAGCATTTCTATTCATTTGTCTCCCGTGTGATTTCTTAACTTTCTCACCAAACAGTTCTCAATCCTTTTTTAAGAGTGTCCGCCTTGCTGCGGGACAGCGTGTCCGACTTCCGTCCGGCTTGTCACCCTTTCCCTTCTTGTTGGTCGTTGTGTCCGCCTTGTCTCCCTTCTGTCTCCTTTTGTCTCCGGTCTGGTCTCCCTTCTTGTTGGTCACTGTGTCTGCCTTGAGTCTCCTTTTGTCTACCTTCTTGTATCTCTTCTTGTTGGTCACTGTGTTTTTTTTGTCTCCCTTCTGTCTCCCTTCTTGTTGCGCGGTGCCACCACTGTGTTGCAATCCTTTACATGTCTCCCAGCTCCGGACTGCTGTGTCCACCTCTCTTTTACATTTGTCTCCCAGCTTGTTGCTGTGTCCGCCTCTGCCTTGCAATCCTTTACATGTGTCTCCCAACACTGGACTCCTGTCTCCGCCTCTCGCTTGCAATTGCAACTGCTCTGCCCTGCAATCCTCTACAGTCTCCCAGCTTGGGCTGCATGTCGCTTGCAATCCTTTAGATTTGTCTCCCTGTGTCTACATTTGTCGCGGAGGGCCGTGCAATTTAGGTATTTGTTGTTTTTTTTAAAGGATCTTTTTTTGTTTCTCGTGGCTTTTTGGCTTTCGTGGCTTTTGTGGCTTCCGTGGCTTTTGTGGCTTCCGTGGCTAGTGTGGCTTTTGGCTTTGGTGGCTTTTGTGGCTTCTGTGGCTTTTGGCTTTCTTGGCTTTCGTGGCTTCTGTGGCTTTTGTGGCGTTTGGCTTTCGTTGCTTTTGTGGGTTGTGGCTGTTTGCTACTAGTCCATCTTTGGAGGAATGTGAAGTCCGAGGCACAGCTACCAGATGTAAGACGGTCTTGTTTTCATCCAGACGATTCCTTTGGTAGCTTTTGGCTTTTGGTGGCCTTTGATGACTTTGGCTTTCGGTGGCTTTTTTGCCGATTCGTGGCTTCGGCTGGCTTCTGTTGGCTTTTCGTGTCTTCATTCACTGATATGGTGTAAATATGCCTGGCTGTTTGCCAGCTACGACAGCTCCCAAATCTGTCTACCTATCCATTCAGCTGTCTATATTGATCTTTCCATTTGTCTGTCTATCCATCTATCTGTATTTTTTTCTGTCTTTAGTTCTTTCTTTCTTTCTGTATTTCTTTCTTTCTTTCTCTTTGGCAGCTGTTCTCCTTTCTCTTTTTGCTTTTGCTTTTCCATTTGTTTGCTTTGCAGAGAAGAAACAAAACAAGCAAGCAAGCAAGCAAGCACGACCCCCCCCCCCCCGCGCCACGAAATCTGCACTTCATCTCCGACACCTGCGCCTGCCACGAAATCAATATTTTAAGGTGAACTCCCAGGTGCAAAAACTTCTAACAACCAAGCAAATATGCCTCCTGTGCTAGTTCTCTTTCTCTTTGCTGTTTCTCTGCTAACTGCACCAAACTGTTGTGATAGGTAGGAACTTCTCTGACACCTACACTATTCCAATGTATTTTGCCAGCTCCCAAATCTGTCTACCTATCCATCTATCTGTCTATATCTATTTGTCTATCTATATATCTGTCTGTCTGTCTGTCTATCTATCTATCTATCTATGTATCTTTTTATCTATCTATCTATCTATCTATCTCGATCTATCTATCTATCTGTCTGTCTGTCTATCGACCTATCTATCTATCTATCTCTTCCTTCTGTCTGTCTGTCTGTCTTTCTTTCTTTCCTTCGTTCTTTCTTTCTTTGCTTCTTTGACTCTTTCTATCTTTCTTTCTTTCTTTCCCATCTACCTATTTATCTTCCTATCTATTTATCTATCTATCTACCTATCTATGTATCTATCGATCCATTTATCTGTCTATCTTTCTATCTGTCTATCTATCTAGCACCTGCCACGAAATCTGCGCTTCAAGGTCCACAAAGTACTGTGCCTGCCATGAAATCTGCACTCCAAGGCCCACAAAGTCCTGCACTTGCCACGGAATCTGCACTTCAACATCCACAAAGTCCTGCACCTGCCACGAAAACTGCAGTTCAACATCCACAAAGTCCTGCACCTGCCACGAAATCTGCAATTCAAGGTCCACAGAGGACTTTGCCTGCCCAAACAAAAACAAGAAAAACTCCTAAATTAAATCCAAGCCCATTTGTCTCCCAGCTCTGGACTGCTGTATCCGCCTCTGCCTTGCAATCCTTTATTTGTGCCACAGCTCTCAGCTGCATGTCGCTTGCAATCCTTTACATTTGTCTCCCTGTGCCTACATGTGTCTCCAAGCTCTGGGCTGCTGTGTCCGCCTTTGCCTTGCAATGCTTTGCCTCCCAGCAGTGTTCCGATGTTGAAAACACAAACTGTTTGGGGTCTACGGTGGTGTAAATTGTTAAGAAGACAGAAGCTAGCTCGCTAGTCCGCTTAGGTTTCCATAGAAGTCCAATTGGTGGGTTAGCAGCGCGTCCAAACTTACCTCAAAACGAGCTTGCATACAATGTGCTAACTGACTATGCTTCCCTGTCGGTCAACCATATCCGATCAACGTGCGAGTTCCTTTTCAACCAAACCTGGACCATGCCATATTGCACCCAATTCCAGATATTGGCCTGTCCTTCGCAAAAAGACACAATCTCTACCAGTGTGTTAAAAAATGCCTTCGCTTAAAGCAAGATCTGACGTCACTCTCGTGGAACACATAAATTCGATGCATTTGCGCCCTTTCGTTCGTAGTAATTCGTGAATGACATGGACTGTGCATTACACCGGTCTTTTGTACACTACATTCGATCACGCTTGCACGTTTTGTACGTTGAATCTCGGTGTGAATTTCTACCCTAGAGTACCCCACGAAGTGGAAGGGCTGTTCGGGGCGTGGGATTTGTCCGCAAGTTGGTGTAATTTTGCGCAGGACCCTCGATTTTCCAAATCCAGACGGTGCCTCTGCGATGAATTTCTCCAATTCCAAGATTTTGCCTTCTCACGAAGACACCAGTTCCCTCCTTCTTCGTTTGTTATAATGAAAAAGACCCTGAACATCGCTAATTGATTAGAATCAATTATAATTGATTCTGAGCTATTGATTTTTCGCTTTTCGCTAAATGATTAGAATCAATTAGGTTTTGGAGATTTCCTTTTGACTAAACTATTGATCTGCTAATTGATTCTGCAATTGATTTGCTAATTGATTCTGCACAAAATATGTTCTGCTCCTTTTGGCTCAAATGATCAGGTTTTGGAAAATAGAAAGCTAGTTGTTAGAACATCTTATAAAATCTCTAACCTTGGAAAAGGTCTGAAGACCTTGGAAAAGGTTTCTCTGCTAAACCACTGGAGAAAGTTTTCACACCTTGGAAAAGGTAATGAGTGGCAAAGGTGGTGCCAGACACCATACCAAGCCCTGGGTAGACCAGGGTCTGCTGTATGCAGCTCTGGTTGCCCACCAAGACCTTGTGAAGGATCTTGGTAGATATGAACACATCTCCAGAAGCAATGCCACTGACCCAAAGGGGGTCATGCATTGCCTGGACTTGTGGAAGGCACTTGTGAAAGTGGAGCCCTGTGGAGAGGTTCACAGCCAACCGCTCAGGCAGGCCCTGCTCAGCCTCTTGTCAGAATACCCCTCCTTGAACACTACAAAGCATACTGGTGGTGTTTGGTGCAACTTGAAGCTAGAAAGGATCAACTGCTTGTTGAATCACTGCAGGAGGCTCAAAAGAGGCGAGAGCATGTCCACATGTGCCTCCAAGCTGACAAGTGATGAGATGCAGCAGCTGCAGCTGTCACTCAAAGCAATCAAGTTGCACCAGGAATTGCCTTTGGAAAAAGGCAAGCAAAGGGGAGAGGAAGAAGGAACCTTGGGAAAGGCAAGTGCAAGTGCCTGGGAAAAGGCAAGTGCAAGTGCCTTGGAAAAGGCAAGTGCCTTGGAAAAGGAGTGCACAGATATTGTGCCCTATGATGAAGAAAAGGCAAGAAAGCGGCTGAAAAAGGAAGACAGTGAGATCACACTTGACTCCACAGGTATTCCTGTGATGTTCCACAGCAGCCCAGAGAAACTACCAGAGCCCAAGCAGCCACCAGAGCTACTGGCAAACAGAAGGCCTGGCAGTAGGCTAGCTTCCAGCTCATCTGCACTGAAAGAGGGCATGGGCTACACTGACACCAAGCCGTGGAAAAGGCCTGCAGGTGCACCAGTGACAAAGAAAAAGAAGAAGCAACAACCCAAGAAAAAAGCCTTGAAAAAGGAAGATGAATCCTTGAAAAAGGAAGATGAATCCTTGAAAAAGGAAAAAGCAACCTTGAAAAAGGAAAAGAAAAGCAGTTCAAAGAGCATGCCCTTGGAAAAGGGCAGAAAGCCATGGGTCAAGATCTACAGGACCATAGCAAAACAGCCAGCCAGGGCATACCTGAGAGGATACACTGCTGGTGAAAGGATACATCTCATTGTGGAAGTGTCTGCAACCAGGTGCCCGGATCACTATATCCAAATCATTGATGAGATTTGGGAGGCCTTGGAAAAGAATGCATTGACTAAGGCAGAGGCCAAGGAATTGAGAGAGGAACTCTGTCACAAGTATGGCTGCTGAGCCCTTGGAAAAGGAACGCTGCTCCTTGGAAAAGGATACTGCCCCTTGGAAAAGGATGCTGTCCCTTGGAAAAGGGTGCT